CCTCTCTGTTTGGCAAAAACCAAACATAGCATATCAAACATTAAAAAAACAAGTGCAGCTATGGCCTAGACCTTAGCAAAATTGAAATGCTGTGGTAGAGAGCTGTGCATAAATGAATGCTCACAAACCTAGATAAAAGTTGGGTACAATGATCCTGAGTCACGGCTGCTTCTGCATTTTGGCTCAGTGCTTTGTTAAATAAATAATGAGATGGTGAAACATATTGCATGTTTTTGTTCATCTCGTTTATTTCCTTTTAAGACGTGGTAAGCACTGTCTGCACATTTCTCTTTAGGAGACAAAAACATTAAAGCAACACTGCTATGAAACTGACCCTTAGTGATTTTTCCACTAGCTACACCTGGACTTGTACCTCCTATCAGCCCGAGCCAGCTGCAACATTAGCACAATGCCAACAATTGCTTTAAAGCTACTTACTGAAGCAAGCAGATATAGTTTGCTAAAAGTAGTGATAAAACATTTAAATACTTAAGAGAGAGGTTAGAGATTTAAAACAGGTAAACACTGCTCACATAATCCATAAAACTACTTATAGATATAAATATTGGTTGAAATACTGTTCATCTGACAGGGATATGCTGTAAAGAAAGAAAAGCACTGATGACCACTTTCCCATTAACACAACATCCTCCTCTTATCTCACACTTACTGTCTCTATTTATGATCCAAATTATAAACAGACCAATAATCAAACAATATATGTCAGCTCTGATAAAAGCAGAAAAATGCCAGCATGTCAAACTCCATCCCACAGTAAACAGATCCACATCTCTCTTTGGTCAGTGCATGCAAACAGGAGAAGATGCTTAGTGCGGAAGTTATGACATTTCTGTCTTGACACAGCATGCAAAAGCTAACTGTTGACTTTGTGGAATGTCAATACAAGTTCATGCTGTTGCTAGCATTTAGACTATCCTACAAAAAAGAATCTGTTTTGTCAGCTTGGCGAGTTTCAGCTCATAGCTCTGTCTCCAGCCTGTTATCTGTTGGCAGGACGTATTATGAACCGCCGTGATGCACTGTTTAGTTCAGTGGTTAATGATGAACAAACAGTCACGAGTGACTGGATGTTGGAGAAGTTGGCTCGGTCCAGCCTTGCACTGTTTAGCTGTGCTGTTTATTATTTCACTGTTCTGCATCATGGAAGAATTGTGGATCTGAAAGACGGCAGGAACTGAAGCTACGGACGTCACAGCATTAATAAAGCACAGAAACATATAACTGACACAAAGCAGACTGCAGCATGGAGTCAGACTCTCATTTCCCCTTTCTGTTTTTTTTCCCCAGTATCTCTTGAGTTGCTGTTAGAGAAAGGGCTGTAATCTGTGTTTAATGCAACATGGCCTTATTTAGATTTATGGCATTAATGAAAAACGGCCCAACTGAAACCCAGTCACAATAGAGTAGCATGTATATGTCTACCAAATAAGCTCAGTAAAGGGTGAAAAAAGTTGAAGGTGGTCGAAGATGTGTTGAGGTACAAATGGGAGTGGTGTAGTAAAAAAAAAATGCAAAGCAAATTCATTTGAAATCACCTTTCTGGCTTTTTGCTAACAGACAAACATGGGCAGAATCAACATAACCTCCTTTGAAGAGGTAGTATAATGACAACAAAAGTGAGAAACGTTGAAAATAGCAATTGCCCAAATGTAGTTCACAAAATTCATAACAAGCAAGCAGAAAGGGCAAAAATTAAATAATGAAAAAGACAAATTAATAAAGAATAAAATGCAGCTGGGAAATAAAAATAGAAAACATGATCAAAAGGAAAAACAACTCCGTGAAATGAAATTCGATTTTTTTTTAAATGCATGGGTAAGCATCGCAAGGTTAAAAGTTGGCAAGATCAAAAGGCAATTACATAAAAGCAAGTCTACGGGAGTGTATTTTGAGAAGTGAATTTAAAAGACGGTGCTGAATTAGTGATGGATTACTTTGAGTGGGGCAGTCTACAGATCTAAGGTTGCTGGGTGCAAATGGCAACTACAAAGTACTTTTAATGATAACCGCTCACAGCAAAGACTATAGATCCAGAGAGCCATTGCTTCTGTCAGGATGTTTGAATTCAATTTTTAAAAGATTAATTTTGGTTTAAATTTAGTGTATCTGCCTATTTCTTTTCATAACTTCACTGAGGTGAACTTCTGGCCACGTGATAGTCACGTGATGATAGTCCGTCATGTGTTTGCAGTACGCAGTATGCAATACAAACTCCCCGTTTAATCATTTTAACATAAAAAAGCA